TAACAAGTGTAGCTTGTCCAACGTTTCTCTCAGCTCTTCATTCACAAATCTGGTAGTCTGTAGGTAAAATCCTTATACTACAAACTTTACAGCACTATTAACTACAGCGTTAAAGGTACACTTCCACATGGACCAATTTTTTTTTAATTTGCTACTTATTTATTTTTTAAATTTACATTATTATTATTACTATGTAGGTTAAGAAAATTGTAAATATTGTGTTTTTGATTGTTATATACATATAGATAAATGTAAAGTGTAATATAAGTATAATATACGTAGCATTCACTTGATCACTTTCTAATTAATATAAGAATAACGAGAGATTCATAAATAAATGAATTCATATATACTAATTTACTTATTTATCGTTGAAGCTTCGTAATGTATGCGTATTCTGTAAATGGACCACAGAGCAAAGGTATTAAAGTCCAATTCGAAAATTCTCAGAAGTGAAAGAGCAACCACATACGCTGGCAGCAGTATTTAATTAAATTTATTGATTAACTTGGGGTGCAAACCAGGTCTATTTAAACATTTTGCGCGAATTAAGAGCGAGTAAACACTAACTACAGCTTGAAATAAGTTAAACGCCTGAGGCGCCCGACCGCTTCAACAACATTTTAATTCAAACAACGTAATTGATTAGTTTTATTCTATTTTTTTGTTTGTTTTTTTAAAGTTGTCACGAACCAGCCAATAATTATTATTTAAAGCGATGTTTTGATCGAGTATCGTGTATATAAATTAAATGCCTTACTTATGAAAAGTTGGAAAAATCCTTTTCTACTAATTAATATACTCTACTACTCTTACGTTGACGACTGCTGTAAAGCACTCGAAATGTTGTGGTCGAAACTATGTACAAATTTAATCGATTCGCGTTTATATTTTTTCGACTTTTTTAACGTTTTCTTATCGGGACATTTGACAATTGTTTAAGTTTAACACCACAGTTTCTGTTAAAAATCACCTTTTTGTCATTAATTAACTGTCTTAGAATATTCTAAAAGATATTACCGATAGGTATTATGGATTCAAATTTTTATGGTCACACATTTTACATTTTTAAAATACAGTGGAATCTCGATAACTCGAACCTCGCTAAGTCGACATCCTCAGTATGTCGAAAAAATTTCATTGCCATTCCCTTCCGCTGAAACTCCTAAATACGCGGTATCTCGAATTATTTAGATTTTGTAACTCGAACAAAATGTTATTTCCCTGTGAAGTATGCATAATAAATATTTATTCTCTATAACTCGAATTTCAAAAAGGAAACTTACGTAGTTAGTAAAATATAATGACGTCTTACTTGGAATTCCCCGAAATAATAGCAAAAATGAAAAATGAATGTTCGGGTTCGGGGCTTCTAATATATTGTTTTTGTCGTGTCTTATATAAACAAATATATAGTACAAAATTTAAGTAGAATTGTTATTAAAATTCGACTCAACAAATCGAAAAATACACTTAGAAATCGCGCCTCTGTTCGCCGACATTTCAGCAGTTAAATCATATGTATCTCGAAGATCTTGTTAAGTCGAAAACTCGTTAACTCAATTTTTTTTGCCGTTCCCTTGACATTCGAGTTATCGACTGTAATATGAAACATACAATAGTCAAATATCTCACTTACACTCGTGTAAAGGGTACTCTTACTGATATTACAATAATTAAATATCTACTTATAGGAGTACGAGTAATACTAGGATAACGATAAAAGTCAAAGGTCCATAATTATGTCTGGCTCAAAGTGCAGGTACCGGCAGGAACCGTTTATTTTATCGATGGACATCCGGAATTAAATTATACCACTATCCACTCAGTTATAGCTCTTACGGGCAAATTTAAGATGGTCGTATTTTAATCCCAAGGGCGGAGCCACAAGGGCACTTTAGTTGAAATACGTGAAGTTTTGAAAAAGTTACGTACGTGGAATAAAATGAAAAATTAGCAGCTGGTATATCACACCGCATCTGCTGCGATTATGTATATTTTTGTTTACCTGGTCCTCATGACTTTGATGAAGTCAGTGATCTGACAACCTTATAAGGTCTGGGCCTCAGATTTCTGTATCTGTTCCGTTATTGTATTTTTTTTAAATAGGCTAGTAGATATAGATTATTGTTTTTTTTTAAATAGGCTAGTAGTAGTTTTCTGCGCCTGACAAACGCCATCGACGTTTTGGATTTAAGGCATACATTTCCGCATGATGTTTGCATTCACCTTACCAGCGAGTTATAAATGGGCATAGGTATAGACAGAAAATCCATTGGTGAACAGACGATGTTCGAACCTACGACCTTAGGGATGAGATTCGCTCGCCGAAGCCACTAGGCCAACACTGCTCCGAATTCCGGCAAAAAAATTATACCAAGCCTCAAATACAGTTTTTTTAGCCACGATACCTGTCAAATTAAGGTTTGTCTAGGGTACTTGTTGCGATTAGAAGAAAAAAAATTAAATCGGAAATTATCTACTACCTGTATACTACGAAATGGAGACCTAATGATGTATTTTACTCTTCACTTTGTGTTGTGTCAAGCTTAACACATATCAGTCTATAAATTATGGTAATCATACGATTCAAGGGTGGATTTTTAAGTAGGATTTTCCTTTACTGTACCATCGAATAAGCTAAGTTGCAATCGATCTACTTTTCGTTGACTTTATTTACTTAAAAATAAAATCGATATATATATATATAATAAAATAGCTGGTTAGTAATTATGCGTAACTCCAGTAGCTGATTAGTAACGCCTCTAAGGTCCAAATCACTTCTCATGGTTTGGAAAATATTAAGGCACAGAAGATTGATACTGTGATAATAAATACCAACAAAAAGACGCAAAATGTCTAATATGTTTGGGCCTTGAATTTGTAACATGATTTTTTTCAGCTAACTTTACCATTTGCACAAATTTGATAATTCTAGGTTTCCTGTATTAAACCTCATAATTAATAATATATGTATTTAAGCAATAAACCTAAAGACTAAATTGACACACCATGCCATTTAAATTCTTCATATAACTTTATTACTTTCTTAAGATGGAAAATAAAACGATTTTTTACTAATAATTCTATTTTATTGTTTATTGGTTTTCGAAACAAGACATTTTTCATTCCATAGCAGGATATAATAATTAAGAATAATTGAACTGCAAGAGAAACCACTAATGTCTACTTAAACTTAGTACTGACTTAGTTTTGAAACTAATTGTTATATAAGGTAAATGTCGCGGGAACGTGGCCTATGATCTATTATTTATTAAATATGTACAAAAAAGCTTAAAGGAACCAATAGAAAAATACTGGTGGGTGGATATTTTGTCAAATTCAATGCATTGTTTTTAGATGTGTATGGCGACAATCGAACAATTATGTATTATTACTTTATTGGCCCCATTCTTTCGTGCCGAATAAAATAAGTATAAGTTTGCATTGTCGGAAAGACAGGTGAATTATATCTAAACAATAAATAGGCTTTTCATTTCTACAAATACTAATTAAACTTATTTTACAACTAATTACAGGATACTTGCGTTAAATGATAATTAAAGCCATTTCCAATGCTTGGCTAAATCCAACAAAATTTACAAAAATAATATGAAAAACATAGCGTGATAAATAATCTATCTATAATTTTATACATAAAATTTATCATATTCCTAGCAGTTACATTGCACATTTTATTTTTCTATCTCTATATATACAGTTTAGTATTAAAATATTTTTACCGCAATGTTCCTTCGCGTTTAGACCAGATATCTTTTTAAGAAATTCAAAAGAGAAAATGTATCACTAAATAAAATATATAGCCACCCTAACCCAATCTAGATTTGTGGTTTTTAAAACGTGTAATGCAAATGTATTTTAAAATCCAGCGGCGTTGTACTAATTGTTGACTACAATATTAATTATTATTTTAAATATACTAGTGATTGAAATGTGACATATTTACAATGAGGTTTATTTCTATTTTGGCTAAAGTTCTCTACTAATTCCTTATAGTAAAAGTTGTGCCGTTTTGTGAAACTTTATTAAAAAACCTAGTATTATTTGTTATAATCAACCTACTATAAAAGATTACTGTAGAGTGTCATTTTAAAACCGTAATTATTTTGTAAAATGTATTGTACAGTAAGAAACAATCATAATATAATAAAACAGTATAGTATATAATAGTATTTGGTGATCAACTCTTACTAGAACCATAGCTGTATATAAATAAAATAACATTTGTTAAAAAATATTTAAAACTAAATAATTGTCGTCTTATGTCAATATTTACTCTTTACCTAGTCACAGTCTCAAGTACACTTTGTCGTTCGTTATATAAATGTACACTCTTGGACTTGCCTGCCTGAAGAGTGTCAAACAATATTGCTCCCTCGAATAAATAGTTCTTGATTTAAGACATTAATTGTTCAATGACATTGAAACGTACGTTCTACGGTGGCAATCAAAGCCATAAGTGCACATTTTTAGCGGACATCCTTTTCTGATATCCATTTCGAGTCTGCAACACGCAGTAATGAAATTACTAACATTAAACACAGAATATTGAATATTTGCAAGGCACATTCTCTTTAAAATCCTGATTTCCAAATTTCCTTGTAAAATCTCCACAAAAGTATTGCTAACATAAATCAATATGTACGAGAAGCGACATTTGTTCTTTGTGTTGATATGTATTATAATAATTCATTAAGTACCCTGTGATTTGAAAATATAAAAGAATCGTTAAGGTAAAACCATAATCTGTAACAATATGTACAACGAGTAATAATTGCGAACAATTTTTAAGGATATCAAAAGAACGAGTTGGAAACGAGATAATATTATTGCTTACGACAGGATACTCTCAGCACTCATGAGCCGGAGCCCCAAGAGCGGCGGTTTTAGCCGTGACCTAGGCTAACGTAGGAGCGGTTGGCTACTCAATACCCGTATCCAGCTCCTGGATAGAGAAGAGCAGCGCCGCCTCCCGACGGTCAGTGTTGGGCTGCGAACTTCATACGTTTCTGTTTTTGCCTTTGATTACAGAACCAAACTCGGACGACGTTCTTTTTAAGATCTAACTTTTCCGCAATAGCTGCTATTTTCTCACCAGATGGTCTCGGCTGCACTGCAAAATACGCTTCGAGGCTTCTCTTTTCCGGCGCGGCTATAGATGTTCTCTTTCGCTTTTTTTCACCGGCCGGTAAGACACTCGGGGCATCCGGATCCCTCCTCTTATTTTTTGCTTGGGCTTCGGCCTCCTCTAACCAAGCTTGGAGTATAGGTTTTAAGGCTATCATGTTATTGTGACTCAGCGTTAAACTTTCAAATCTACATATTGTACTTTGTGATAGTGCACCAACACCAGGAAGCTTTAAATTAGCTAAAGCTTTGCCAACGTCAGCTTGCGTTACGCCAAGTTTAATACGACGCTGTTTAAATCTTTCAGCAAAAGCTTCGAGCTCACGCGGGTCCGTATCAGTATCAGGATGCAATGCAGCACCGGGGTGTACTAAATGTGCTGGTGGAGCGTGAGCCAGGCCACCGGTGTGATGGTGATGATTCATCACGTGATTCATTGCACCGTAGCCGTGTAATTGGTGATGTGGTGGTGCTCCTTCTCCCATCGGAGCAAGTGTGGTCATAGATGTTGCAGATGGCTCGAGCATGTCTAATCCCTCCATGCCATGGTGTCCCATCTGTGAGAAGAAAGGCTTTTGTAATTGGTTTATGGTACTGCCTACACCACAACTAATGAAGATATTATTAAAGTCTAAGACTTAAATTAAATAAATACCTACAATGAATACAACTTAAAGTTCATGGCAATTTGATCGTTTATTTTGAATACAAAGCAGGGATAATAACAATAGGCTCGACTCGTGGGTGATATGGAAACATAAACAATAATCATTGTGCACAGATTTGCTCTCATTCTTTATGAGTGCAAACACTTGTTTTTTTGCAAAGGGGGTGAGTCTGTTGTGACGTTGATTGGATGCGAGTGTTTTACCAATATGCTTACGTTGTTGACCGGCTTTGTGACTAAAATGGATGTTTGAAGTATCAGAATTCATTCGTAGAAAATAATGTTTATGCAACCAGTATTGATTTTAATTAAGTAAAAACCAATGTAATAATACTGCGCCAGTAGAATCAGTCTCTACGTCACTAATCAATGAAACCTCTAAAAAAGATAAAGGAGAACGTTACAAAATTAGAAATAATATTTTTGTTAACATTAAAAGAGCATAAAATTGTATAAGAAAACACACACCCGGTCCGGGTTACAAAAACTAACGGAAGTCGAAACATGCCATAAGTCTCACTAACAATTTTCTAGGTGCAGGGGTGGCATTTTCGGTGCAGTAGGTACCGATTCTTCTGGGAACAGTAGATCACAATTACGCGGACATCAGACTGCGTGCTACACGAAATGTTACAAGCGATACTCGTGCCTTATATTTTTTGATTTGCTCAGTTGTGATCATCTGCGTTTCTAAGATAAACTTGAGTAATTTTATGCTTATAAAAATAACTATCTCACATCCTATACTATCGTATTTATAACGGAAGGTTTTGTGAGATTTAATAAAGAACAATATTATTAATGGAATACAATATATTTAAATTAATATTATTTTACACAATGTGAAAAGTGATAGCTGTGTATCGATCCAATCCAATAATAATTTCACTGTTATCAAGGTTGCTCAGTCTAGATTAATATGTTGCCTAATAATATTGCACGTTGTTTTTAAATACAGTATGGTAGAAAGTTTCTGTGGCGATAAGATCGACCCTTGCACCATCTCCCAAGTGATTTCAGTGACAATTGCTTGCGAGTAAAAACGCTCATATGCCGTGTAATCCCACGGGCATAAACTCGTAACTCCCCTTTGAAGTTTACGTTTTATGTTTAATTTTGCTCACTATTTACTTTGTTTTATAAGTACAGTAAAACACGCTCACTATATCGTGTAGTATAGCTTTTTTACAGTACGTGTTATTAATATTAATTACGAGACCTACAACTTACTAATTATATTTATTTACCGTCAAAAATAGAATTTAATTTCATATTATGCAATTAAATTATATTTTGAACGACCAGTCCACCCGTTCATTTTAAATACTTGTTTAATAGTAGTATATAAATTTACTGCACTAATGGTATAAGGTAGAAACATAGCCCTTTTCGTAATAATAAATAAATCATAAATTCGTTATTTATTTGTAAATTAAGAATCTGGAATTGGTAAAAAAAATTCGTATCGTTCGCTATGTTTGCAAAATAGAAAAAGAACATCTTTATATCCCCACACATTGCCAAGATTAAAATGTTTGACGTTTGATTCCGAACGACTCGCGTTTAGGTTTTCTTGTGCCATAAAGTACACATTACGTGGCCTCCCTTACAGCGGAGGGAAAGAAACGGAAACTTTGAAAGGATAAAGCTCTATATGAACTGAAAGGCTTTATATCTTTTAAGTCTTCGTTCTCTCATAAGAATCTCAAATTTTAATTCGAATAATTAAAGTAACAAATAAAATGCTATCAATATGGCGTTAATGCATCGGTCTGTCGTGAAACAAACAACAAAAATCGAACGATTATATCCCCTGTTTAATAAAGCGTAGCAGAAAAACAATTTGCAACGTTAATATGAATTAAACGAAATTGAACAGATGATGCAGTTATGATTGCAAAACATGACTTCTCTTACATGTGTACAATATGGCTTAAAGGAGGGGTTGCAATACAATCGACTACATTACATCGAATAGTGCATAAAATTACCTCATTTTTATAACGGTGCGCATATATTTCTTACATGTTAGAGCTCTCCCGACTTCGCCCCTAAATTCCCCAAGGAACCAACCCTCGCCGGTTACCGATATAGGAAGACTAAAAGATTTTCCAAGGTATGGGGCATACAGAAATGCATTTACCTTTATTATTATTATTTATGTTTCTCAATGGGCACACTGCCTTCCAATTTACAACAATTTTATTACTATTCCTTAGTTTTATATTCTTGAAATTCGATTGAAATGATTGGTATGGATTTCTCGCGAGTCATGGAATAGGGGAGTTTTATTGCTTAGTATCTAGTATTCGTTATATTAATTCTCCATTCTAAAAGCCTTACTTCAAGATGAAGCGTGTTTTTTGGGCGTATGCTTTCCGTTAATAAGTATTAACTTCTATGTCTTACAACGGTATTAAAGTCATTTACGCTACTTAAACCACTGATTGGCTTGTTAAGCATAATGCTTTTTGCTTGCGTAGAGAACATTATGCATTTTAGTAAACGAATATAACAATTTTTCGTCTTACTAGATGTTTTGGTTTGATTATTTATAAATATATATCTAGTAATAAAAAGGAACTTTTATACCTGATGCGGTCGCGTGTTATGCGGAGGAGGACCTCCGACTCCGTGGTGATAGACCATGTCATGTTTGAGTTGCGGTAGCGGAGGTCCAGGCTGAGGACCTGACTGATGCTTGCTGATGTCCACTGCTGCTAGTGCTTCCGCTCTACTCAACAGTCCGTCATTGAGACCACTGAATATGTCACCCTGGTGAGTAATTAGTTCATGAAATAGTGAATTTAACGTTTTTATATTCACGGGTTTATACAAATTTCGGAGACGAAAATTCTTTCGAAATGCTCACTCAAGCTTTTTAAGAAAACTAGTTTAATCAAATATATTTTTTCCAGCAAGCGTATAATAGGGTAAACTTACAAACATTGTATATTGAAATGACAACATAGGGGCTCTTTCCAGTTTATACACGAGTATATTTCATCATTTTAGAACTACACATGAATTTGTGTTAGAAATGTGTGACATTAAACAAACGAAATTAAATTAATACTCACTATACAACCGAAAGCTAGATAAATAGTTTAAAAGGGCAGTACTAATTCGCAAGACGTAATACGTAGTCAACATCAAATAGTCATGGCGGATCAACCGACGGGCCGCGGACAGGGGTTTTTCCCGGATTACTTTAAATTATTTATGAGTGACTCTGACCTCGTGTTCCGGAGAAACTCGTTATTTCGCCTTCTGGTACTCCTCAGCCGCTCTGGACGGATGCTTCGCGCGCGAACTGACTTTCAAACAGGCGGTTTATAGTGGAACACTTTTAAAGCGATAGTTCCGCATTTCGATTTACCGGTGCTACCCACGGAATAAGGGGCTTTGCTTTGGGAAAAGTTTGGTAAGTCTTGTTTTGTTTAGTGGTCAAAGATTTGACGATACGGAATAAGATTATGTGAGAAGTTTGTAAAAAAAAACTAAGTTGGGTCAAACATTATCTAGACATACGATTTTGTCAAGTCGTATTGGAATGGAGTTTTTAGTTTGTATGAAAAGGGGGATAATTGCTAAAGCTCAAAGAGTATTATTCGTTTCTCAACATCGTCGATAAAATGAACAAATTATTTAAACAACTGTGGTAAATTTGTAAAACTTGTTTCTAAATACTAGTAATAACTAAACTGACAAATCATATATATCGTTAAACAATCAATAATAATCACTTAACCCTGCCATAACACTTGATCAATCCCACCTCTTAAGTTTTAAGTGTGAATTGCTGTCATCCGTAATCCCTATACAAAAGGACAATCGAGCGTGAGAAATAAAAGTTTGTTTCTACCCTTCACGAATCATTAGCATCGCGTTACAAGAGTTGCCCCGGGAGCCGACCGTCTAATTGTAATTGCTAAACAAATCGGCCCCGTTCCAATGCGAGTTACAATATAATTTATACTGATGTGCGCGTGCCAGCGAATTGGGCGTGAAATTACAGCATTAAGTGTCTTTGTCGAGTGTTTTGTGTGTTATATAATGATTATGCGTAAATTATATTAAAGGATTTAATTTAAATGGACGGCCCTTTCGTATTGCGTTGTTTTTCTTGTTTAGCCTATCCTAGATCTGATATTCGATAGGTTGCTACAAATTTTTAGTTTCCGACTAGGCTCTCATTTCTTAATGGCATATTTATTATTAGGTCACAGTATGTCCGTATATATGTCCAGTATGTGTCAATGTATTTCACCATGCCTCCTGCTGATAAAGGACAAGTCTTTGTTTTTAATTTATGTTATTATAATTACTTAAGATGTCATGTGGAACATGGTGTAATGGTTGCAGCTCCTTAAAAACGTTGTGTAAAAAAAACATGGTGATTAAAAAAAAGTGGCGGAGAGTTTATTGCCAGTTCTTCTCTTCCGTTCTACGCCCTTGATTTGAGAACTGGCACTAAATGTTAAATTAGAAGCATTTCATATACATTTCTTTTTTTGACGTTCATAAGTGTATTTTGTGTTACCTATATGATTAAATGATTTTTTGACTTGACTTAATATAAACCATACATTCCAATTTTGACTAATTAGATTGCGTTACATAAATAGGGCTTTATATATACTGCGTTATATAAACAAAATAAGTAAATACACACACAATTGCCGCATGACGCAAAACAAAGCGCTTACCAACACGATACTACTAAAATAATCCATTACTATTATTACTCATCAACGTTCTCATTTAAGGGTTAACTGGCGACAACTCCTGATCCCTTGATACATCTGTGCCTCGTGATGTCGGTATCATGTGTCACAGAGATGTAAAACACAGTAGGGGCCTTTGCACACGATTAGCCGGATAGAGCGGCATACTGAATATTATAATATTTCATGAATTTAATTACGTTCCTGTTATTTAGTTACTCAAAGTTATTAAAAGTTAATTAAATTAAAGCCTTTGAACCTTTTCGGTATTCGCAGTCTCGTTGATCATGCGCGGATTATTTTACAGGAAAAATAAATGTTATTCAATTTGTTAGTAAAATTAGGAAAGGCTGAACGTGAAATGGTCCTATGGTTAACTAATGGTTCACTGGCCGATCCTATTCCTGAAAATTCTATATTTTTAAAATTTTAATAACTATGTTTTGTGTTAATTTATAAAGCCTTTTTTGTCTAATGAGTTATAATTTCTGTGATCTAACTGCACCATACTAAAAATTTATAAGTAAAATTGTAATTAACGTAAGTAAACCGCTTATCACGTATTAGGTACTATCGGTAGGACGCTCCAAATTAATTTTAACTATCTACAACTCTCAAATAAAAGTTGCTGAAATATGTAATTCTATTAGTAACAACAGTTATGAAATGCCATGAATCTTTTAATTAAATAATCAGACGTTTATTTTTGAAATGAAAATAATTGCACTTAAATTATACAGCTTACAGATGAACATTGACATTCTTAATTGTATCGAAAATTCATACGTCCGTTATTACGCGTTTTAATCCACGTCATTTTCGATTACCACTTAATAACTTCGTGAATGCTTTAACACAATTATTTTATATAATGTTTTCAGACTCGTAACATATCGTGATATGTCAATAATACAATCCCCACAATTCCATCGTTCATTTCCTTTCTTTATATTTTATTTTTCGATATCAGTGTTCAAAACTCGGTCAGCGAAATGCCAACTCATTTATACGAAGGTTAACTTTAAACCTATAACGTTATTATTGTTTACATGATATCGTAGTGCCATAAACGTATTGAATTTTTAATAATGTATATATATACGTACATATAATTATTATTCCCGTTTTATATTTTAAATACTTGTAGGCTTGTAGAACGATAAGGTTACCGAATTATATGTCAACAAGCTCTGTCTACGTTTGATTATACTTATTACACATATTAATTTCCGAGTTTCCTTGATATGACCTGTGTTCTCTTTGAAATTCACGAAAAAAAATTAATTTTTTTAAGCGATGTAAACATTTTTTACATTAATATATACAGTAGTATACTTTTAATAATTTAGAAATAAAATAAGAATTTTACGTTGTTCCATGTGTGTTATAGTGAAGTATTTGTTATACACTCACCTTTGAGAAATAATAGATTAACTTAAATATCTTTGGCCAAAGATAATCGCAAGCGCCATCGCAGTGCAAAAAATGGAAATTGTATTAATTTATTAAAGTATATATCTATATTACTTACGTTATGTCTTGGTGACCAGGAATTACACATCAACGATGCGTCTTCGAGTATTCGACTCTGAAAAAAAACCAGATTTATATTGAGTAAAAATTATTAATACTTTTAATTCAGTGCTGATTGCAGTGTATGTACCTAATGTAAATTTATATAGTTGGTAATGTATTGGTCAAAATTTTGAAGATGGCTATTAAAAGCAATTACGAAGGCTATTGAGTTAACCTTTGAAGATGGTGTTCATGATGTTGGTGCAGTGGTAATGTATAATTGTTTATCTTTTTGTAAAAACGGTTCCATAAGTCTTTAGCAGATTAAATTGAAACATTTCGTCTGATTTTATTACGTTTTTTATATATTGAAAAAACGTGAAATGCGAAACTAATCATAAGATAAATAATTTAGTGTACATAATGTATTGAATTTCTTGCTGATAATAAACGATGTGGTAGAAACCCTAAGTATACATAAATAAGGGATGTACATAATTTTTCATAGAGTTTATATTTGGACGTGTTGCAAGTATATCTTTCGCCGTAAGATAATTTTACTTAAACGTGGATATGCATCAAAAGCGAAATAATGATGTACGTGTAGGATTGTTAACACTTCCTTTATGTCGTAAACAACGAGTGTAACTATTATACGAATGCAAACAGCTCGCGCCAGAAGTAGGACACAACTCAGATGAGTCTTAGCATTATGCCCCGTTTTGTCATAGATTAAATACAGCCACTTATACGTTGTAGATTTATTTAATCACATACATACATGAATTTAGTGATTTTCAAGTATGTGTGTCTATAAAATTACGAAATAATGTCCTTTATAGGGAAGTTCCGGAACCTCGTTTTGAATCATTATTATCAATTCTGTAAGTTACCCTTCGGATCAATCAAGCCTTGTATCTTAGGCAACCTCTCGGCTCTCGTGACCATAGATACATATAGAATTCACGCGGCATAAAGGCCCATTTAGATAGAGAGAGTCGTACGCGACTATGGCCAGCAATAATCGCCATAGCATTATCGTATCAAAATGTTTACATATAGGCAAGAACTAAATTCTCGCCTACGATTATGATTTATGTCATACGAGAATCACCAGGGATTTATCGCTAGGCGATAATTTCCTGCGTCTGTTTACACATCGACATTTTAGTAAAAAGATTCTTACTTACGAGAAACTCGACTAGTATAAACACGATCTCGTATAACATTTTTTTATGTTCATGCGAGTATCGTACAAATCGGTTTGAACCGTTTTGAGTGCGAGATGTTTCATTTGAGTATAGTAGGATATTGATCTCAAAAATGTCACAAAAATCCTTTTAAATTTGGGGCTGTCGATAATATTAAGTTAATTGAACTTCAATAAGTTACGAGTGAAACTTTTTTATATTCTTTCGATAATCGTACATTCGAGACGAGAAACTCTAAATGGGCCTGTAGGTTTTGGTATAACGGCATTGTTGTCAGGTCTTGTGATCATTATTTGCCTGTTTTTAGTTCCTTCATGATCTAAACTAAAAGCACCAGCCCTGCGATTCTGTAACTCACTTTTCGAACTCACACAGCGGTTTTCGCATCGGCGGTCGCTCTCAAATCAGTCGTGAAGCAGTCATTTTATGATTTGGCATTCTAAAAAAGGCGGGAGATTGTTTTTTTATTGTTTATCAGAATGACAAATCATAAAATGACTGCTTCACGACTGATTTCAGAGCGACCGCCGATGCGAAAACCGCTGTGTGAGTTCGAAAAGTGAGTTACAGAATCGCAGGGCAGGACCTAAATGGACTGTGTGATAGCAAAAGTCATAATATGAAGAACTTTTGAAGAATCGTAGAAAAATAATTGTCTACTACTTGTGTACTACGGTATAATGGGAATTCAGACTAATTGATGAATGAAAGCCCCCTTCTCTATATAATCTATTTTATTTATTAATCTTAATATGTAAATTAATCCTCGACTATATTTCGTTTATTACAGGGGCCATTTTATTCAATTTCACATTGACTCTAAATTTGCACGTTTTTCTTCAAGTATCTAATTCGTATATACGAGTCGTAGTACATAAGCCTGGTATTTCAAGTTTCATGGAAAAGCATTTCACGTTTACATGAAAAATAAAACATTTGTTGCGCTTCGATTTTTCTCAAAAGATAAGACAAAATAACTTATCTTATGTACTTATCCACTTTTTCACTAATTTTAATAATTATAAAGTTCCGAGTCAAGCAATTTTAATTAAAGTTGTATTTCGAGGCCTGAGCTCTTAAAATATGAGAGTCCAGAGATGGTTGTGACATCTTCCGCACGACTCCACTCCTAGTCGCATTAATAATTAATTCTTAGCCCTTTGCCGCGCCTGTTAAATGGTGTGACTAAATAAGGGTGGGCCGGCCCTGCCACCCGCCATAACCTGCTGTATTCTACTAGCGCGCTCCAAACTTTTGAACGTTTGTTTTCAGATAATTTCGTAAGAGAATCTATGGCAAGGCTACTTAGATTATATTGTAAGTTTCACATCAAATATTTATTACAATATTAACGCTTACTCATGTGTAACGTAATTAAGTTGTTAAATTATTATAGTTGTTGGACTTTAGAGTCATGTTCCGGAATTTTGGTTAACAGATAACAACTATCTATATATTTTTTATTTAAATACTTATTTATACTTTTTATGTATGTGTATATTGGTTCAATACAGAATTTCTACTCGTATGCAGATTACTCGCAATTGGCTGGAAAGAAGAAATAGCAGGTTATTTGCGAGCAAAAGACCAGTGTTAATCATTCGCTCGGTAGATGACATTTTAACTCCTGAACACACTCGTATTAACTAGTTACTAGACTATAAATTTTTAACAATTTCTTCAGTCCATATGTATCATTTATATTATCTATCTCAATCAAATTTTTTTGTTGTAATTTAACTAAATAAACTAAACTTTATCTAGACTTCTAAGGTATACTATATTCATAGAGTAAGTTTTTTATGGACGAAAAAAGTTTAATTGTCGTATAAAAAATGTAAATGGTTGCCACCTGTATAGCTTCTCACGAAATTTCAGCTGTAAAAAGCACTCACGTTCATTTCCCGCAATTACAACGACATAATCGTATCTGAAGTACTCAAGAACTCCGAACAATCTTGCTTAAATCATGAGAGAATGAGCCTTAAATTTTCCAGAGACTTAAGGCTTTGATAGAACGAGACAAAAACAGACAATGATTAGAGAATGAATGAGACAACTAGCCAAAGATTATGGTAATGACGATAAAAATATCCGATGAGGGTGGCGGTACTTAGAAGCAATTTAAAGATATTGTATTTAATGTTTCGAAGAGGAGTTTTAGGGGAGTGTACGTTATCGAGGCTTAGGGAGATTGCAGGGGCCCAGTAAAAGACTCAAATGTGAGCTGGATTTTGTGAATAGATTATTGAAGTGCACTCTGTCGTTAGATCTACGGAAAGCCTTTTATTTTTTTCGTATTTTAACTGACCTTTTAATGATTCTTATATTAATCTGGTCACACGGCATTTTGTCATAGACAAATCATGCATACTGACTTTGACTTATTGCCAGAGAAAAATAATGTTGAAAATTGGTTTAGAGAAATTTGGACTCGATTCAAATATTATTCATACCCATGTAACATAACAACAACAATAGTGAGCAGTGTTGGCTTCAGCGGGTGACTCCTCCCTGAGGTCGTAGGTTCGATCCCGGCTGTGCATCAATGGACTTTCTTTCTACGTACGCATTTAACAATCGCTGGAACGGTGAAGAAAAACATCGTGAGGAAACCGGCTTGCTAGACCTAAAGAGTCGATGACGTGTGTCAGGCACAGGAGACCGTTCACCTACTTGCCTATTAGATTAACAAATAATCATGAAACAGATACACAAATCTGATGCCCAGACCTAGAAAGGAGGTAGCGCCACTGTTTCATTTTATTTTTTTATGTAACATAATACACATGAATTAATACTACAAATTTAAGCTTCATTACTAAAATTTCAAAATTGTTTGCGAAACGTTCATTAATCGTATATATTATTATTATCAGCTACACTGAAGAATACCTTCATAGTTTGTATTAATACAAATAGGCATTAGAAATGGTAACCTCACAATAGCTACATAACTGGCTTTAATATAACAAGGAGTGTACATCGCATTAGTGGTTTTGTAGCTGTAGCAATAACCCTTAAACGTTAACTGTTATTGCCGATGGGTTCGTTACCTAGTAGGAAAGATCTTAGGGGAAAGATGGAAACGGTTACTTATTCACTTAATGGAGACCAGAAATTAGCGGAATACCCTTAAGTGAAGGTTCTCGTAACAATAATAAAAGTCCATTATGAGACAGATCATAAATAAAGGGCGGGAAAAGAAATACTAAGACCATGTTTAAGGACGCCGGAATAGCAATAATTATAATAAGCAATTTTTTTTAAGAACACGGGTATAGTTATCTATTATATAAATTTCATTGAATTGTTTTGGTATTTTGCGAAATACATTTTTTTGGGATAATAAAGAACTTTGTGTCATAAACAGACAGGCATTCATCGTATCACTACGTGCTACGGATAGCGAGAGATCTTGCTTCAAAGTGATTAGGGGCAAAACGCGCTCGACGAATTTCAGCGCAACAGGGCGGGCCTGATCAATATAGGGCGGGGTCTCAGATTTGACGCTGCGTGCCGGTGTGCGCTCTACGCTAGTCTAATTGATTGACACAGACGGAATGACAGCCAGACACAGAGCGTTTTGGCGGCTTTTTATTGTATCCTTTGAGGGGAGCTGGGGCCAGTGGTCAAATGTTACGGTGATCAATTTTAAACAATTATTGCTTTGTGGCATTGGATTTAATTTCCTCTGAGGATTGATTTGTTTAAATTATCTTTAATATGGATCTACAGAATATTTTGTAATATGATTTCAAACTACACTTTCGGATTCAAGCTTAAAATATTAACATTATTACAAATGCACATAAATACCTTTATGAGTAGTTTC